ATCGCAATGTCAAAGATTTAAGCTTAATGTGATGTATGTATGGATGCGTGCTTCGAATTTCGTTCAGATGGCTTCTGTTATACTAATTGTAGTTGCTTTTATCTTTCAGCTTGTTCGTGCGCTTTACTCTTTGTCAATTCTAATTCTCATTCGCTCAATAAGAGCGACGAAGGTAGCACAAAGGAGAATAAATAATCAATTACACTACGCAACACAGATTTAAAGTCATAATTTCTTGTGGATCTGAATAAACTTGTGACTTTGGTATCCATTTATATAAGTCACTTAACGCCAGACACATTTGATGATCATCAACGAGCAGTCTCGAATGTGGCACTGGAGCACGGTTCCGAAATCTCCTTGGAGTAGATTTACTACCCTTGTCTCCGCGCCAATATATATGCACCAAGAGATTGGTGAAAATCGGACCAGCGCTTGCGGCAGCACCCCTGCCACGAGGCTGTAAAATTAAACAAGGGTCAAACACCAATCCATTGATACCAGGCTAATATAAAATCACCTGTTTCAATATCTTTCACTACTTAGATTTTACAATACTTTTCCACTTGCACGTCTGCTTCAATACGCTTTCTATTATTTTTATTACTTATTTTAACTTTAGACTTCGTTTTTCACTGTTTAATCTTCTTGACGAAGTACGTCTTTTCGCTTCCAATCTGAACTGAAGACTGTCGCACGCGGTCGCCCGCTCCTTTTATAGACCTAACTGTAACGGTGATAAAAGCTTTCGCGATCGCTCCTCAGTTTAACTGCATTATCGTATGATCTGCCTACGTGCCAAATCAGACATCAAAAGGAATATGCAAAAGTGTGTGAGCTAAGTGCGAGGGTAGCACATAAAGTTTCTAACAATCAAGAACTGTTCCCACTCGGCTACTACAATATACAGAGTGTTAAGTAGATAGGATAAAGAGATAGTATTGGGAAAGCAATAGGAAATCACCGACTCGGTGGGGGAAAATTTACAGCCTGTCCGGCAAGCTATGCCCCTGCTCATAGTGACTTCCCGAAGGTATCCTGAAAGCAACGATTTTATTAGGGGTAGAGAAAGTTCGGTAGAGAAAACGTGATGAAGTATTCAAGGATAGGGCGAACAAGAGAGATGTACAGAAGTTTCGTTATAAAAGGATCTACCACGATCAACAACCCTATGTTACCCCTTTTTGTACGAGGATACGGTCCCAACAGGTCGACATATAATCTTTGAAATGGCCTATCTGAGGTCACTGGCTTACCCATTGGTGGCTTAAGGACTATATTTGGGCTCTTGGTAGATCTACAAGTGCTACAGTTAGCAATGTGTGTATTATCTGGCTCACCATACATGGCCAAATCAAGTACCTTTTTATTTTCTGTACAGTTTTCCCCATGCCGCAGTGTGCCGAGCTAGGTGGTTCGTGCGCATCGCGTAATACTTCTGGGACTAAACTTGCAGGTACCCACAGTTTCCATGAGTCCTTCTCTTGCGATTCTATGCCAGTGGCAAACTGTGTTCTCTTGTACACATAATCATCCATCAACTTTAGGTCCGGCAACCTAGCTTGGTTCTCTTTTATATACGCAATTAAAGCTAGATATTCTGGTGCCTTAAAACAAGTTGAAGTCAAATCTATTATAGGGCCTTGGTCATCGAATTCTGCTACTTCTTCTTCGTAAGTTCTAGAGAGTGTATCAGCAACGACGTTTTGGGAACCACTTCGGTGCTGGATATCGAATTTGAATCCCTGCAACTTCATAGACCATCTAGCTAGTCGTCCTGACAAATCCTTCTGCTTCATAAGCCATTTAAGAGAAGCATGATCCGTAATTACGGTGAACTCCTGACCTTCTATATATGCTCGAAACTTTTGAATGCCTTTGAGAACAGCGAGACACTCCAGTTCTGTAACTGAGTAGTTACGCTGAGCTCTCGTAAGTTTCGCAGACATATAAGCGATCGGTAACTCTGAATCATCTCGAATTTGCGCTAGTACACAACCAATGCCGTAAGTACATGCGTCGCAAATCAGGATAAAAGGTTTCGAAAAATTGGGTGTTATTAAAATAGGTGCGGCAGTCAGGTAGGATTTGAGCATTGCGAAAGCTTCGGTGGCTTCCGGATTCCAATCCAGAAACTTTTGTTTTTTTAGAAGTTCTGTTAACGGATAAGTGATGGCGGCGTACTTTTCTACGAAACGCCTATACCATCCAGCCAGACCCAAAAAGCGACGTAACTGCTTGACCGTTTTCGGCACATGGAACTCACTGATTGCCTGTATTTTCTCAGGATCCGTTTTGAGTTGCCCGTTTCCGATGATAAACCCGAGGTATCTTATCTCTGTCATGCAGAACTTGGATTTGCTAATATTTATAGTTAGATTTGCTTTCCTCAAACATAACGCAATCTCCTGTAGCAAAATTAGGTGGGAGTCGAAATTATCTGATAACACTAATAAGTCGTCTAAATAAACAAAGACTTGTGTACGCAAATGGGCAGGAATAACTTCATACATAAGGCGACAAAGTGTTTGCGGCGCGTTGCAAAGACCAATTGGTTAAATAAACGTTTTTGTCAAAATAGTGAGCACTATTCAAAGGTAGATAACGCATAAGCAATTACATACAAGCATAATAAGATATTAATTGCGAAAACACACCCAAACATATGCTTGCAGACATAATATAAATGTACATGCATATACATAAGTATATGACTATTAGTGCAGGCTGCTAATTGCTCAAAACAAGACATGTCCATTTTCTGTACACCGATTTCTATATATACATTTTTAAATGTTATATTACAAATGGTATATTACATTAATAGTTTTAATCTGTACGAGTTCAAAAAGGTATATTAATAACGAAAGGGCGTTAATTGCCCTTACTAACAAAATAATAGGTTAAATAGACCATCGTTCGCAGTATAACAACATGCCATATTGACTAATAGGGCCACACTTACCAAAGGGGACCAAAAAAAGGCGCTCAGAAAATAGAGCAGGCAAGCGACCAGCAGAGAACGGCAATGCAAGCTGTTATTGATTGGACCAATCAGCGATCAGCACCAAAAAAGTGAGTGCATGAGCGCAAGTAGATAAATGACAGCGAACACCCACACAAATAGGTACTTGCTTATCTCTGGCTTTTGGCGCATCTCTGCGCATACACGTGTTTGTGTGGGTGTAAATGCTAGTCAATGTGTCGCATCGTTCTCACTCGAATATTGATCGCTTGCCAATTTTCTGTTCGATTAAGGTACTCATAATTAACCACTCTGTTAATGGGACCTCAGTAGTCAATATGAACGACATATTTTTTATTACTTCGTGTGAGCGCCTTTAAAAGGCATGGGAACCACACACAAGCATAAGTAGATGCCAATTGCGAGAGCACACATTCAAACATACATATACATGCAGAGATAATCGCCAAATATGTACATGTATGTACATGCATATGTCTATATCACTTCCAACGGATTATCTTCTTTTTCATCGCGCTCTCACGAATAACATATTTGCGAAACGAAGTTTTTATGGCTCTATTTCTACTTATTTAAGTTCCAATTTTAATAGATAACCATTTTAGTACTTCTTTAAAATGTTTTCTTTAAATTTTGATTTTTGTCGAACGATTTTTTTATGTCAATTAATACTTCCGACCCGTACGAGTTCGAAACCGAATACCATTAGACACACGTACGGTTTTACCCGAGAATTTTCACCTTTAATACTGTTAAACACCTTTGCACGACTGCTGCAATTTAACTAAAACAGATTAAGATGAGCAAGCAGACCATAAACTAGAGTGAGAGCCATTCAAAGGTAGATAACTTACAAGCAATCACACACATGCATAAGTAGATATCCCTTCAGAAAACACACACCCAAACATATGTATGTATGTATGCAGAGAGAATCACAAAATATGTTAGTATGTATGTGTATATGATTGCTAGTGCGTTGTCTTCTTATTCTTCGCACTCTCACGATTTTTAACGAAATAAAATATTCCTTATTTTGTGGTTCACTTTAAATGGCCCTTTATCGGTTTATTTATATCAGATTTTGCAAACATAACCATATTAAGATTCGTAAATGATTTTAAATCGACCGAACTCTTAAAATGTTGCATCCATTTTTGTCAAAGTTTAGAATAGGATATTTTCAATGTCTATTTTTACTTATGATGCGTACAAGCCGGATAATATAAAATATTGCACACACAGATGGTTTCTACACGAGAATTCTCACTAATAATATTTCTAAACTTCTTTACTCGACTGCTGGGATTTAACTAAGACGGAATTATGTTGCGCGGACAAAAAGTGAAGTAAAATCGTCGCACAGCAAACCAAAAACTCGAGTGAGCGCCATTCAAAAGCAAGCAAAAGTAGATATCAATAAAGAATGCACACACATAAACATATGTATGCAGAGAGAATCGCAAGTAATGCACGTACGTACGTATGTATGTGTATATGCGTGCTAGTGCATTTATCTACTTATTCATCGGACTCTTACAAATGTTCTTACGAAATGAACAATGTGTTATTTAATGGACAACTTTAAATGTCTTTAAATCGTTTAAGTTAGATTTTGGAACGATCACACATTTAGTATTTGTGAAAGTCTTTAAAATCGAGCGAACTCTTATTATTTTGATTCAAAATATATACTATTAGATACACTGACGATTTTTACCCGAGAATTTTCACTAATAATATTTTTAAACAGCTTTAAACTGGCTTTAAACAAAACAAAATTCTGTTGCGCAGACGCAAAGTGGACGAAAATCGGCGCGCGGCAAATTGAGAAAGCAAAAGCAAAAACTTAAGTGTGCGCCGTTCAATGATAGATAACGCAAATGCAACCACACACAAGCATAAGTATGTAGATGTCAATTGCGAAAACATACACTCAAACATATGTATAATGAGGGAATCGCCAAATATGTACATGTGTATGTGTACATTACAGCAAGTGCAGACTGCGAATAGCGCAAAACAAGACATATGTATGTATGTCTTCTGTGCACCGATTTTCTTCGTTCGCTTTGCGTTTGCTCATATTAGTTCTGTGTTAATTTGACCCTCGTAGTCAATTTTATATTAATGCATGCTGAGGGCTGCTCCTTTTAAATATTATTCAATTTGTATGCATTGTGAAGCGAATGTATTATATAAATATTTAAATATCATATTCTATAATAAATTAATTAATAGTTTTAGTTTATGCGAGTCAAAAAAGGTATATTACCCAAAAAAAGGACGGTACTTGCCCTTTCTAAAACAGTTATAGGTTCAATGATTACAACTCGCAGCATAAAAGCATGTCAATTTGACTAATGGGGCCACACTAACGCAGAATAAAGTTGCGCAGAACCGAAGCGGACAAAAAAAACGGCGCTCAGAAAATAGAGCACGCAAATGACCAGACGAGAACTTCATTGCAAGCTGTTATTGATTGGACCAATCAGCGATCAGTACCAAAAAAAAGTCGTGAGTGGATGAGCGTAAGAAGATAAACGACAGCGAACACCCGCACAAACAGGTGACTGCTTGGTTATCTCTGGCTTTGGCGCATACACGTGTTTGTGTGGGTGTGTATGCTAGTCAATGTGTCGCTTCGTTCTCACTCGAAATTAGATCGCTTGCTAATTTGCTGTGCGCCGGTTTTTTGGTCCGCTTAAGTCACTCGCAATTTAACACTCTGTTATTTTATCAGCAGTTTATATGAACATATTTTTATTTGGAGCTGCTGACCCGGGGGTGTCTGAAAGGGTACATTTTAGGTATATATTATTTACCTTATTTAATAGTTGCCTTCCTTGGAATTTGTTTAAGCAAATATGTGGCCAAAATATAAGAAGGCTTGGATGTAAATATTTCGTTAGAAGAAACCGCAACATGAAAAATACAAAATGAAAACTGTATTAGCTTTCGTAAACTAAAATACATTGATTTAATAACGTCCGACTTTGAAAAGACATACCTTTAAGGATTCGTGAAAGCCTTTTAAATCGATAGAGCTTTAAAAATTTTGATTTCAGAACCGATCCATTTATGGAAACAACTTAACATTTATGAAAATGTTTAGACATTGTATAGAATAACCAAGAATATATGTGTAGGTAGTTGGTAGCCCTGGTAGCAAGGATAACTACTTCAAAATGGCACAAGGAGCGGCAAATATGGTTGTTTTAAAGAGCAGAAATCTAATACTCTTACGTATACGTTTGCACTTACAGATACAGTTTTAAGTTTAAATACATAACTTTCTTAACTTAGTTATTTATACTTTAATTAATTAATACTTTCATTATTACTAAATGACAATCTCTAATTCCATTTAGAAATACTAAACTTCTAAGCTTGCATCAACTGCTTTGGGTAAAGAACTTGGTAATGGAATTATTAGCGCCTGTAGAATTTAGGGTACTGTTAAGCTGCTTCTTGGTGGGAGGCGATGTTGTCTTCTTGTTAGCTGAGGTATTTATTGTGCGCACCTCCAGTTGGTTGAGTTCACGCTGTAGCTTTTTGGCCATATGGAAATCCAAATGCTCTGGCATATCCACAGTTTTAATGTACGTTTTGCATTCGGCGCAGATCTCCATGGGTGAACTGCTGCAGCTGGGAGGCGGTTCCAGCGGCTGCTTGGGTGCCAAAAATTTGGTAATGCTGTTGATGGGCTTCGGGGCCGTTGTTGTGGCGGTTCCGCCCACCTTTTTACCCTTCTTCGCTGGCGCTGTCTTTGTCGTGGGCGAGACAAACGACGCTGTTGTATCATTTAGGCGACTACGTTGCATTTCCTCGCGCTGTTCAACGCGAAGTTGACGGCTTAATTGCTGCGCATAGTGATGATCCCGATGGGTTTGCAATGCCTTAACATCGTCCGGTATTTGAGCGCCACACTCATCGCACTTGACCAAGCTAATAAGATCTGCACGCAGCTCGGGCTGTGCGTACTCAGCATACGTGCTTGTAAAGTCGTTGCTCGCCGGTAGTTCCTTGGAATTGTCATGCTCTAATTTCCGTTTTGATGTGGAGGGCTGATCAGGATCTGGTTGCTGTAGATTTGTGATGCTTGATTCTATCTCATCCAGTTCTGCGGCCAAGCCCTGCATGTCAGATGAATCGCTGGTATCAGCTGTTAGCTCATTTGATTGCTCCACATTTTTGCTTACTTCCTTTTGCTGTTGCAGATAACTGGCAAAGAAGCTTTCCTTAAATTCAGGCGGTGTGGCAGTAGGCGCTGCCTTGTCGTCGCTGGACTCTTCTGCAACAGTGACATCAATCAACTTGCGCTTGTATGCTTCAAAGAAACTTTTCTTCGGTGATATTGCTGCTCCTTTTGGGGGCCTAGTTTCTACAACAGGTTCTTCTGCCTCAGTCACTAGTTTTGCATTGATTTCTGCTGTATTTGCATTCGTTTCTAAATTATCTTTTACATTTTGTTCATCTTTGTGCGCTTGCAAGTAATTTTCAAAGAAGTTCTTCATTTTAGCCTCTTCAGTTTGCTTTGGCTTTTGTGGCAGACTTGACTTTTCTACACCATCCTCAACGCTGATGCGACGCTTTTTGGCCGCCTGATTGGCAAACATGGTTTGCAGGCTGTTTTGCGCATTGGATGCCGTTTCGAATTTGCCCACACTGATGCCCAGAAATTTGATGGCATTATTAAGCGCTGCCTCGCTGCCCGCACGTAGAAAGGTTTTTGTATTGGTCTTGATTAGCTCCAGGGCTTGCTTAGCCAGCGTCTCCTGGTCACAATGATTGAGTGGCGTGGAACGGGAGCTGGCCACCTCCTGACCATCGACGTCCTGCACGTACTGCACAACCATTTGCTTTGCCTTGCGATTGTTTTCTATGAAATCCTTTTCCAGGCGATCGTTTATCTCGCTGGCCAACTCGCCTAGCCAGTGTTGCAGTGTCTTGAGACCTGTTATGTTGTTGCGGCCGGGAAATTTCTTGCAGCAGCCAATGCTCTTGGAGTAAAATCGGGGCGTAACCGCCTCCAAGTCGATGCCACGTGCAATATTATGCAACCAGGAGCTGTAAAGCATTACAAGTTAGTTAATCGAATGTAACATTTAAATCGGGCTCGCTGCTAATCCCATATCTCACCCATTCTTTTCGTCCAGCTTGCGATGCAGCTCTTTTTCGCTATATTTGAGTACCTGGCCCAGAAATTTAACGCCCAGCGTCTCGCAGACCATCTCACCGAATTTCCCGCCCAATCCCTTGATCTTGCCTACGGGCAGCTGGTCAAAGAGCGCAGGTATCTCCGCCAGCGGTAAAATCGTCTGTTTGTTGGGCTTGTTCATACCCGCCGCCAGCTTGGCGAGTATTTTGTTGTGGGCAATGCCCGCTGAGCATTCATAGCCAGTCTCTGCTTTTACGGCTGCACGCACTTCGCCCGCAATGCAGGCCCCAATCAACAGACGCAAGTCGCTCTGGCGCACAGCGGGCAAGTCGTTGGGATCGTATGCCAGCATATAACGCTCATCATCGACATAGGGATTGGCAAATCGATTTGTTATCTTATTGACATAGTCGCCAATGTTCTCATAGCCAACAGCATGGCAATTGATCAGCTCCTGTGGTTTCAGTGCAAAGGAGCCCTGCGAATACATTTATTTAATTTAAAGAATCTGTTTACAAGCTTGAACACTTACCGCCTGCAGTTGCTCCACGCGTTGATTGACTGTCTCTGTGATGTCCAGATAGGCCTCGTCGACAGAGGCGCGTTCCAGCAGGTTGGTGAAACGCTGCAGCACATTTGCTACCTCTTTGCCAGCATCCCGATATTTGCCTGTATCTGCCTTTTCTCTAATGTTGGGCACCTGGCAGAGGATTATGTCGTGACACAGCTCCTTGGCCTCGTCGCCGCGCATGTGGCGTGTCACGCCTTTAGCACGTGCCGCATAATTGACAGCTATAATGCCGCCTCCGCGCCAAGGATTGTATTGCACCACGGCCAGAGGCTTGCCTTGATACTCGGGCTGTTGTTTCTCCTCGACTTGGCAGAAAAAGCAATCCATGTCCACCAGCAAGACCACACGGTCGTATTTGTTTTGCATGCCAACAAAGGCACGCGTTGAATTACTCATGATTTTTTAGAGAATACTTTATTTTGGTTTCACATCGTTTTGTGGAAATTGCGCCTTTAATTTCGTGAGCAACAAGCGGCCGGCAACAGCTGAGCACAGGTGCGAGCGGGACAAGCATAGGGTGTGTTGCGAAAGCAGTGTTACCATATAGCGCGCTTATCCAATCAGCTGTTTCAATGGGATTCAGCTCTGTTGTCAAGGTGGCAACGCTGCCAATAAAAAAATGTAAACAGGCGAATTAGTTGATCCAATTATGTTTTGCGATTAAAAACTATAAATAAATATTTGTGTGTGTGCATTAAAAATGGTTTAAAATGGACAATTAGCCAGAACAAATAAACTAAGCGTCAAAGAGGCACGCGGCCTGGTGCTTGCAGCCAACGACGCGACTTCCGCTGTTTAATAATGTACGAACAAATTGTTTGAATAACTAATGAAGTGGAATAAGTATTAAATTGTAATTGTTTAATTGTTAATTGGCTTGTTAATAGCTCAATAATGTGCTATAGCAAATTTATAAGCAATTGCATTTAGTTGCGGCTTATTACATAAAGTTTTGGCAAACCACAGAGCTATTGATTTTTTTCAAATACCGCCTGCGAAGTGCACCGCATATACAATACACACACACACACACGTCCGCCAAACACCAACACCCGCCAAACACACACACACACACACACACACACATATATATTTATTCGTTTGGCCTAATGCACGCATTCGCAGTTATTGCCAGCGCAATTATCGATTGGCGTTTGACCTGAGGCAGAGGCCGAGGCAGAGGCAGAGAGTGCTCAAAAATAGAATATTTCGTGTCGTGCTTGGATCTATTTCCGGGCATTTTCTTTACGTCATGGGTGCGTCATATTCAAAAGTTTCATTCCTTGACTGCCTTGATTTATCCAGTGTTTTTTACGTGTGTCAACTTATGGCTTAATTAGGCAAGCGCACGTAGAGCCTGCCCAGCCCAAGTCAAGCGGCAGTTATATTTATTGCATGCCCAAATACTGTGACAGCATTTGTTGGCCAAGCGATTTGACCAGGCTGATGGTGTTGCTGCTTGCGGCAGGTGTGTATTGTGTGAGTGTGTGGGTGTGTGTGTATTACTGTGACCTAATTTTGTATTATTAATGGCGTTCAAGGAATAACGGCACAGGAAGTGGCAGGTGCAGCACTGACCTCTATTAATATGTCATGCCATCAAAAATCACTTAACGATTTGTGTCAGTTATTAACCAAGGGGGGGGGGGGGGTGGTTGGTAACGGTAAATTATTACATGCATCATCGGAATGAGGAGTTTTAGTTCGAATATGTACAATAGGATTTTCTGAAATGAGAAGAAACGTTGACAAGATTAATTTATTCAATCTTAAAATTTGAATATGTATAATGTAATTTGCCAAAAATAAAATTTAACAAATAATTAATTTTAAAAATGGGTTGGTCACAATTTATTTTCAAAGCTTCTCTTAAAAATTAGTCATAAATTGCCGTCTTTGATACCCGCTTATTTATGTCAAATGAATTATTAAAATTCATTTAAATTAATTTGCGGTAATCCAAGATGACAAACCCTCAATTATATCTGCTAGAATTACGCTACAGCCCTGTCTCCATGTCACCCTGTCACCCTGTCTCCCTGTTTCCCTGTCTCCCTGTCTCCAGCATAAACGCACAATTATGCTAATGGCTCATGCCCACGAGAACAGCAACAGCCACTTGACCGACCGACCGAGCAAGCGAGACCGCCCGCCCGCCCGCCAGTAGCTGAAAGCAACCCACTCAGTCTCGGCACTCAGACGCTCGTCATCGTCGTCACTTTTCGGGGGTATTCACAAGCGAACAACTCACACGGCCAGATAGTCTCTGTCGGACGCCGGACGATGAAGTCACTGGGGCGTTATATCGCAGTGCAGTGTTCCATTTGATTTGATTGCTTTTAAGTGGTTCGTTTACTCTTCCGCCTGCAGTCGACAGCCGACAGCGTCGCCATGGTAAAGATACTGCAGGCCTACAACTTTGCCAGGCAGCAGACGTTTGCTCTCAATGGCGACATTCTGGCAGCCACCTTAATTGGCAACAATCGCATCGCCATCAGCAGCGCCGAGCAGTTCATAGAGATCTATGACATAGCTGGCAAGCAACAGCAGCAGCAGCAACAGCCACAATTGGAGCAGCAGGAAAATGCAGTGCAGGAGGATCAGACAGCGGCGGGTGGCATGGGAGATGCAGCTTCGCCGACGCCGACGCCAGCGATTGATGAACGTATGCCCGTCAGGTATACATTGGCCACGGTCGGCGAGGTGGTGCAGCTTATCTACTGCGAGGCTGGTAAGCATACAAATTATATGATATATAACTAGGGTCTTATGTCTTATGTGGTTTTACGTTTACGTCAGTTTTTTGCTTTAATCACTTCGATCACTTTTCCACCCGTGTGAAATTTAAATCTACGCGTATTACGTTATACCCCAAGCTTCAAATTTTACAATGATCATTTAAAATAATAAATTTGAATCAATCATTTAAATAATAATAAATAATAAAAATAATAATAATTAAGATACAAATTTTTTGATATTGTAAAGAATTTAAAATAAGCCTTATGACCAAAAGTAAAAATTCGTTCATACAGCATATTTTCCACGAGGAGAGGAAGATTTAAAAAACATTTTTCAAATCAACGTTTTCACCTATTTTCAACAGTTTCGCGTGGAATAGGGTAAACAGATTTGTTTGGTTTCATTTAGGATAAATATTTCCATAGATTAGTTAGGTACCATTAATTGAAAAGTGAAATTAATATTTTCTTGCCTTACTCTGATGCAGGCAAATACCTTCTGACCCTCGAAAAGGAACAGGCTGGCAGTCCGGTGCATTCGAATAGCACCAGCATAAGCTGCACATCGAGCAGCAATAGCAACACAGTTTGCTCCGAGGATGATACCAAGATGTTTGTGCGCATCTATGCAAACTTTTGGAAGTTTCCCGATGCCAAGCTGAACGAGCTGCCGATCACAATACGCATTGCCTCGATGACGACGCCCAAGACGCCGCTGGTGGAGAGCATTGATGTGATTGAGCTGCCGCTGCGCAGTCCGCCAGATCTGGTGCAGAGCTGCCAAACGTCGGGCAACATCATAGTGAGCAGCAGGGATCGCATCTATCTGTATGAGTACACGCAGTGCGTGCATGAGAATACCCAGCCGAGATTCTCCTTCATCGATTTTCTGCCCTTCAAATTCTTCGTGCAGCTCAACTTTGTGCCGCTGCGCCTATGTCTGGCCGAGAATGTCATAGCCTGCCTCAGTCATCGCTACTGTGTGGCCTTCAAGGTGGTGGATGCGCTGGCCAACAAGACCACGACTGCGTCTGCGCCGGCGCACGAGCACAGCTGCCTGGACAATGATTATGCGGGCGATGAGCCCTTGTCCGAGTCTCTAAGCTTGGGCAGCAAGGCGAGCGCAGCGGCCGCCAGCAGCACGCATAGCCAGCAGAGCTGTGAAAGCGACTCCCTGCAATCCTCGAGCAGCGCCAAGCCAGCGCTGGTAAGCGGTCCGGGCTTGGCCGGACGTACGCCTCTGGACTTCAATGTGGCGCGACTGGTGAACACCGCCTACGGCCGTGAATTTGAGCCCGAGCTGCGTTCGCAGTGGGATCAGTGCGAGAATGGCAGCAATCGCTGCGGCGGCCAGGATGATAACACACAGGAGATAACCATAACGCCACAACGGGCCGCCGACATCAAAATCAAACTTATCAACGAGGCGAAGGCTATGAATGTGAGAGGCATTGGTGCCGGCGGGAGCAGTGCGACGGAAGATGTATCCGTACAGTACGACATACGCAAGCTGCTGCAAATATGCATGAGGACATCAGAGCCACAGTCGCGGGTCTTGGATATACTGCGCTGCATGGACCTAAAGGCCATATACCAGCGCAGCAGCGAGCAGCAGCTGGAGGAGGATGACGAGTATGACATGGGCAACCAGCAGGTGCCCAGTGCAGTGACTACATTCAAGCATGCAAATCGGCGCACGCTTAAATCCTCTCAGCATCAACGCTGTGTGGGACATGCGCTGCTCGTGGCCAGCAGTGTGGATGGCTATTTGTTTCAGTTCTGCGGCCAGGGCAAGTGGTACAGCGAGAACGAGAAGCCTGTGGCCAGCTATAGCTTTACGGCGCCCGTGCTGCAGGTGCATTTAAACGAATATGTCGTCTATGCCGTCACCTCGGAGTCTGTGGAAACGCATACCTCACGCATCGGCCACAAGCTATTTCATAATCGTTTCGAATATCCGAGCATTGGCGGTCTGTTCCCAGAGGAATCCTCGCCAGACGTCAGCTCAGCCATTGCCGTCATTGGCCTGGCCGCCTTTATGCACGTACAGTTCGTTTGCGTCAACCGGGAGCAGCTCGTCCTGATCACAAATACAGCGCTGGAGCAGCACAAGCGTCGCAGCACTGGCGAGGTCGCCGTGGTAGCTGTTAAGCGCAACATTGCAGCCAGGTTCTTGGCAGAGGCAAAGGCCAAGCACAACAGCTTGCTGAGAAGCAGCAGTGCTGTCCAGTCCTCGGTGGTTAACGAGTGGACGCTCTACAATCTGGAGGTGCCCAAGGTGGAGCACATTGTCGAGGATCTCGAAGGCATTGCCGAATCGTATCGCAGCGCAAGCAGCTCTAACTTTTATGATCTCATGGAGGAGGCGCATGTCATGCTTAGACTAAGCCTCACACTGCAGGGCGAGCGTCTCGGTGTGGACAGGGAACAGGAGTTGCGGAAAATGTTTATGGCCAATTGTCGCAAATTGGCGGACTTTTCAATACGGTAAGAACGGTTTCTGTGCACACAAAAAATTTAACAAGAAAGAAAGTCTTAACCTTGTAGATAGGGTTTGCAGATGTGAATAGTGAAGCTTTCGATTCCTGAGTTTTTCAAAGATATTCCCCACTTCTATTCCATTTACAGCTCCAATAAACAAGAGGTTTACTTACAAGCAACTGGTTTCTACAAGATGTGCCAGCTCCAATTGGTGGACATATACAACAACTATATTCAAGAGTTTATGGACAGCGAGCAGGTGGTGG